TCTAAGTGACAAAAGACTCTTTTCCGGCCGATGAAAACTCATGACATTATGCCGGTTATTAAGAGGTTCAAGCTGTCTTGTAGCTGTTCAGGGCAAACACGTACCCACGAGTATTCGCTGAGAGAAGCAAGCCGCGTCATGATGAAACGACGCATACACAAAAGTGCGTTGGAAGCTGGCGTTAGACTGTTCATTTACATGAGGCTGAGTCGCTAGCAAACCAAACTTAGCACTTTGTGGTCAGCTGATGAACACGAAAAAAGCGAATTTACAGTCGGGAGATGCTGCTCTTCGTCTACTCGCTACGATGTGGCTACGGACAATGTAAGTATGTTGGAGAGACTGACCGTGCAAACCCACTTGTGGCTATCTATTCTTGGCAAGATGACTATAAACTCACTTCGGAGCAGTAGAGATCGTGAACCGAGATGATAAGCATATGGCCGACAGGTGCAAGAGGCGCGACTGTCAGGCACTTGTTTATTCAACTTTCTCATTCAGATACCTATTGCTTGCGTTACATTACTTTACTTAGCAAACAGCTAAACAAATGGAAGTGTGCGGTTTGGAGATTTCTCGGAAAGTCAAGTTTTAGTTGAGACCTAGGCCACGGATAATGCGAACCATGTAAATACTGGGGCAGATGACGAATCCGGTCAAAGTTACATCCGTGTTGCCATTCGGCAAAGCAAAGAATTGTTACGAAATTGATAAAACCGGGTCCCTCACCCGACCCATCGGTCGTTGATAGCGAAAAGCCGAAATAAGTGCCTGAAAGTTAAACTACCTAAAGTTAAGTAGTCTTCATTTATGCTGCCCGAAATACACGCTTCACTGCTAACCGCGTCAACTTTCGCTTTAAGCGCCTTTCGGTTCCTGCGTCCCTCTCTCTCAAAGAAAGTCACTGCTTGTGTAACTAATGTATTCAGGGGTTATTTTTATCACTCGCACAAAGTTGCTCTCTGTACAATTAATCGGTACGTAATTAAATTCCCGAGTACATGTATAGTCCAGAAGTCGCACGTTTTCTGAGAAATGTACAACTTCTTACAGCTGCTTGGTCGGGGCGAAAATCCACTTAATCTTGTCTTTTAACTCTCTCTTCTGACTAATCTATCTCGCATAATACAAATGCCTGTTAGAGATTGCTTCGGCCCTCTAGTGATCCTAACACCAAAACATTACCAAATTTCAGTCATATAGATTTGAGACAGCACTAAGGTCCTCTGCCTATCAGCCAAACAAACCCCGAGCCTGTCTTTTAGTGTCCTTTCGCCCCCTTAAGCCGAACAGCCTTTAGTTATCAGCTTTGACCGGTTAAAGTTAATGCATATAGACGGGAACAGAGCCACATAAGCACAACCCCCCGTCAGAAGGGAGTCCGCTGCGAATGCGTTCTCTGTGCCGCTCAGCCGGCCATCATAGTTTGAATCCGAGGGAGGGGTAGTGAGGGGGAAAAGGAGAAAGCTAGTAGTTTACAGTGGCGTCATAAATTCCTGACATTTACCGTACACTACCCATCTACCTATGCGAGTGCCGCTCCAGTGCTTTAATCACAGCTCTGTACTCCTCGCGAATTTGCCGTATCAAAGGCCGGAGGAAGTTGGAACTGTTTGAAGGGACAGGCTTTGAAAGTCTAGGCAACAGCCTCATAATGCGGTTGGTGGGGCAGGACAGAGAAAGCATCCCTTCTTTGAAGTCCGTCCGCCTCAATCAATGCGGCTGATGGTTTGGCCATTTAAGAGGCCGCCCCGATTAAACACATGGCGGGGTTAATTTATAGTAAAGTGTGATTAAACAGAGCTGTGAGGATAGGATAAAATAACAGTCAGATATGGCGATCTAGCAGGACAATTGTACTGCTATCTTAATTGGTCAATTTCCCTTTCCTTCCTGAAAATCCTTTGATCCAGACTTCATGGACAATCATCAGAGAGAAGAATCACGTCTTAGCTCAGTGCGGCTTCCGTCATGGGCCTGGGCCAGCAGGCAGGTTTCGGAAATTTATATCATTCTTATTTAGTGTTCTTTCGTAAGACCAAGTTAATGATTCATACCACCTGATCCTCACGCAGAAATGTTATTTCATTAGTTGAAAACATCGCCAATGAACCTAAGATCATAACACTATAAGTACCTACAGGAAAAACTCCGGAAATTACCGCTTTTTTCAAATTAAGTTTTTTAGCATTCGAAAAGTACATAATTAGATGGTCCTATTTTCTCCAACTACCAAGCTAGTTAAAACACATGTATGACCAATCATAAGAAATGGAAAAATCACAAATCAGGACGAAGTTAGCTGAGAGCTGGGCTTGAACTGCCCACCTGCATTGATGTCAGATGCTCTACACTGATGCCGTTGTCGCTAAGCTCACCGGCTGAACGAATTATTCGTTTTTACCTCTGTCATGACAGCTGATAAGACCATGTTGAGCAGACGTTCCGTCAGATGTCATGTATCTTTTCAACGCAATAGCCAGTCACCTGTTCATATGAGATTTGTCTTTCCAACTCAAACAAACAGTCGTTCGGACTACAACAGGCCCGCCGGGAACGTCAGAAATAATGAACGGTATGACAGGGGAATAGGAAATACGCCCCCTGTAATAAAGGCGTCCTTGCCTAAATTCTAGGAAAACTGAGGTTATAGTTAGGGTTGGATTGACGTCAG